ATTAACATATCTTTTGTTTCCAAGGGTGGGAGAGGTCTGATGTGTGAATTGGTCATTACAATGTGTGACAAGCTTGGTAGGATCATCCTGTGTTCAGTATTTTGTCCATTTGAGTACCTTGAAAACGCATTTAGCCACATTTACAAGCATTTTGTGTTTGAAACGCTGATAAAATCGACTGCTGAACGCAAGTTTTCTGTGTTAAAAAAAACGACTGTAAACTCAAATTCCTGTAAACGACTGTAAACGAAATTGTGTACATGGACACATAGGAAAACATTAGGGTGAGTTCAGGGACTGCTGAAAAAAACACTGAACAGCTCCTAAAAGTGAGTTTATCAGTTGCAGTGTACATGAGCCCTAATTCTAATTAATGGTCTATCAGCTGAAGTTTAACCACTTGCCTACCGGGCACTTTTATCCCCTGCCTGCCCAGGCCAATTTTCAGCTTAAAGTGCTATTGCACTTCAAATGACAATTGTGCAGGCATGCAACACTGCACCTAAACAAAATTTGTACCCTTTTTTTTTTTTAGACAGATATAGCTTTCTTTTGGTGGTATTTAATCACCACTGAATTTTTCATTTTTTGCTAAACAAACTAAAAAACACTGAATTTTGAAAGAAAAGTCTTTTCTTAGTTTCTGTTATAAAATTTTGTAAATAAGTATCGGTACTTTTTCTCCTTCACTGATGTGCGCTAATGAGGCTAAAGTTATGGGCACTGTTTGATTGTACTAATTGGCACTGATAGGCAGCACTGATGAGAAGACACTGATGGGCATTGACAGGCATCATTGGTGGGCATTGAAAGGCATCATTGATGGGCACAAAAGGCAGCAGTCATATATGACACTGATAGGTGGCACTGATGGACACTGATAGGCAGCACTGATAGGTGGCACTGACTGGCACTGATAGGTTGCACTGATTGGAATTGTTAAGTGGCACTGATTGGAACTGTTAGGTGGCACTGACGAGCACTGATAGGTGGCACTGATAGGCGGCATTGACTGGTACTGATAGGTGTCACTGATTGGCAGCACTGATAGGTGTTACTGGCACTGATAGGCAGCACTCACTGGCACTGATAGGCAGCACTGAAAGGCAGCTCTGATGGGCAATGCTATATGGCATTGATGTGCACTGGTAGGCACTGATATGTGGCCTTTGATGTGCACTTATGGGCACTGGTATGTGGCATTGATGGGCACTGACAGGTGACATTGATGGGGCTACACTGATCATCAGGGCACTGGTCATCAGTGCCCTGATGATCAGTGTAGATGTCCCCTCTGAGGAATGCCATTTACAGCTCTCCTCTCCTTGCGCTGTCAGCGTGAGGAGAGGACTGCCAATAACCGATATTTCTGTTTACTTTTGATCAGCTGTGATTGGACACAGCTGATCACATGACAGAGCCTACATCATACGCCGTTTACTGTGATCGTTAATCTGCTGTGTCCAAGGGACACAGCGCACCACTGTAGGTGCGCATGCACAGTTAGAGTGTGAGGATATGACATCCTCCAAGAATGAGAGAGCTGCCACCCACCTGTCATTTCCTTATATGGCAGGTGGGAGGCGGTTAAAGTGGCATTAAACCTAAAACCAAAAGTGTAAATATATTGCAGCTTACAAATAATTAAACGTGGCTGCATCCATTTTCCTTTTTAGGCCTTTTTCCCTCTTGTTTTCACCTGGTGATCTGGCCAGTAACTCCCTTCCTGTGTTAGTGAAACACCACTCTGGATGAATGAATGGACACAGGGAGTATAGCAGACAGCAGTATTGTGAGCCGGGAGAAGGGGGGGAGTGTTAGATGTACCAGCAGATTTAAATACAATAACAAATTGAAGCCAAACTCCAACTCACACTTTATAATCAGTTACAGCTACAGTTTATTTCCTTTTGAGAAAGTTGATCATTTTAATCACCACAGTGGTAAATGGTCTGTCTCATCCATGTAAACTGATAAATTCTGCTGGAGAGTTTGTGCTTCTAAAAAATAACAGATTTGCTAGTTGGATCACCAGATGAAATTAGAAGAAAGAAAGCCTAAAAAGGAAACTAATACAGCCATCACAGTTAAGAATTGGTAAGTAGCAATATAATAAATGTTTGCTTCTGGGTGTAATATCACTTTGATTGACATTGCTTGGTGCAACAAGGTAGTGGCCTGAAACATATGTATGAATTAAACCTGTATTTGTAATACACCATTATTGATTTGGACTTTAAATTACAGTAATTGAGAACTTACAGACATTATTAATACAAACGTGCACATACTGTATGTAATCACATACAGTATTTATGCAAAAATGCTTAGTGCATACAGATGTATATAAAAATGTTTTTAATTTAAATCCACATATTACCAATTTATGTAACACTATTTTCCCAGATGCCACTTGCTCAACATGTTTCTCATGTTTTCATGCTTCTTCAGGATTTGGGTAAAATAGCCAATATGCAGTATTATGTATTATTACCAATATTATGGTGGTCTACTATTTTAGGTAAAAAAAAATTAACAAACATATTACAAAAAAAATGTGTATTGCTTTTTACACAGGCAAAGAAAGATACAATACCAAGAGAAAAGACAAAATCAAAATATTAAATTAAAGATACCAGGTGTAAGGGTTATTTAAATTGGCCCCCTATATGGCTCACATATAGCCCTCTATAATCCCCAAAATGTCCATATGCATCACAAAAATACTGTACATAAAGAATACTGTGTACAGGACTCAAGTGGACAAAAACACTTTTTGACACACATTCCAAGTTTTTCAAAACAGTCCTAAAAGGACATAGGTTTGGGCAGAAAGCTTCCTTTACAGAGAAACAAATGGCTAGTAAATGGGATATATATTGATATACTGATTCCCCCCCCACACACACACACTTCCTATAGACAGAATAGTAGTAGAAAGGATTATGGGTCTGTCGTATGATATCATACCATAACTAAGAACTCTGGTGGGAGTAAGCATAAGTCTCTATGGCTTGTAGAGATCCCTATTTAAAATAAAGGAAGTTTAGAGAATTTGGAAAACAGAAAAGAAGAGAAAAGGGCTGTTATATAATAGTTGAGCAGAGGGAACAAAAGTGAGTTTTCAAAAGTGGACTTTGAATAACAATTAGCTACAGTAGAAGGTATCAGGAAAGAGTAAACTAGCAAAATTTTAGATACAAAAAAGCACAAAAAAGCACAAAAAAGCTAGTGAATAGTATTTGTTTTGCTATTTATTTTTTTTTTTTTTTAAACCCAATTGACCAACTCTTTGGTAAGTAATGTGTAGACACTTGATAGTTTAGGGTTCGCACATAGTTTTGGCCCAAAAGAAACAATTCCACAAAATATTTTCTCATATATCAAAGGTCGTCCAGAATCATCCCCAGAATATATTTTCTCTCCCCTTACATCGAAGGTGCACATCATGTTTTTGTGATCATTATGTTGAATTTCCATTTTGCTGCAAATTTCGTTCTGCTTATTATCTGTAAGGCTGACTGCCATCAGCTTGTCTGATAGTTGCACAAAATCCTTTTTGGTTGTACCCCACCCTGCTGTGTCAAACACAGTCCCACCTTTGACATCATAAAATTTCTCTGGTAATGGCAGAATTTTCACAGCTTTGTTTAGTTTTGCTTTGCCAAACAGCTGTACAATCTCGAGGTCATTATCCCATGTTCTCTGATTATAGTTTTTTCTTTTGCTCTTTAAGTACTGGAACTTCTGTATATATCTTCTGCTGTCTTTGAGCACACATGCAGTTCGATTATAGTTGAAGAATTGCCCATGCAGCATCTCCCATTCATCCTAGGCATGGCTGATCTCACTAATTTTCTATCTAAATTAGCAACAGAATGGCCTAAATAGAAGGAAACATATGGAATGTTCCAGTCAATGATTTGACTTTTCCTTCAGGAAATGCTAGTTATGTCATGACCCGCTTTAATATTTTGTCTCAATGACCTGGAACAAGTATGAAAATTAAGAATTCTTAGTTTACTTGACATTCGGTCTTAAATACATGAGTTTTCTATCTAAATTAACAACAGAATGGCTTAAACAGAAGGAAACATATGGAATGTTCCAGTCAATGATTTGAATACATACTGTTTGGAGGAATTTACAACAGAGGTTTGAGATTCTTTTCTAGACTGGACAATGAATGTTTAAACATTGGAATCAATAAAAACTAAGCAGATTGTGTTGCTATATTACAATAAAGATAAAACCCAGAGCACATTTTAGATGCCATTCATGCAAAAATGCTATATTTTCAAAGGGTTCACTAACCTTAATTCTTGTTACAATAGCTGATTTATATTATTGTCTAAAAAATGTGACTATATACAGTATATATTGAGCACATATTTCATATAATGATATGCTTAAAATGACTGCCTAACATAGGGCATTGTCACAGCTATTACACTGAACTTGATACAATGTTCTAACAGAATGATTTAAGAAAACAATGTGTTCCAAAAAGGTTTTCGGCATGGTGCTTTTAGTGTTTGGTATTGATTGCAACTTGGCCCACAAGCTTTGTGATTATTGTTATTTAGACTTGGTAGAATTGTCATGAATTGCATAACATATGGTTTACCTAAGAATCTTCTTTTTCAACCAACTAGATATTTCATAATATTATGTATATTCAGTATACCACCAGAGCAGTTATATGTTTCTATTCCGTTTAGCTGATGTGTCACGTACTGAAAGTTCTGCTATGTGTAAAATGTGCATCATGTGAATTGTGATAGGATCTTTTATAGACTCTGATTCTGTTGTAGGTAGTCTATATAGATTTATGTTTAACCGCCTCCCGCCCACCATATAAGGTAATGACGGGCCAAGGTGGTTCTCTCGTTCTGGGAGGACGTCATATCACATCCTCCCACTCTAAGCACGTGTGCGAGGCTCCGGGAGCGTGCAGCGTGATGATCAGCAGTGCACTGTGTCCCTTGGACACAGCTGATCACCGATCAATGGAAAGAGCCAAAGATGTCAGCTCAGTCATGTGATCAGCTGTGTCCAATCACAGCTGGTCGCATGTAAATAGGGAAACGCCGGTTATCGACATTTCTCTCCTCAAGAGCTGTCATGCTGACAGCTGGAGAGGAGAGCCGGTAATCGGCATTCCTCGGAGGGGACATGTACACTGATCATTAGGGCACTAATGATCAGTGTGCCCTGATGATAAGTGTAGCCCCAGCAGTGCCACCTGTCAGTGCCCATCAATGCCAGCTTTCAGTGCTCATCAATGCCACCTGCCAGTGCCCATCAGTGCCTCATCAATGCCACATATCAGTGCCTACCAGTGCACATCAATGCCACATATCAGTGCCCATCTGAGCTGCCTATAAGTGTCACATATCAGTGCCAGTCAGTGCCACCTATCAATGCCAGTCAATGCCACCTATCAGTGCCAGTCAATGCCGCCTATCAGTGCCAGTCGGTGCCGCTTATCAGTGCCACCTATCAATGCCATATATGAGTGCTGCCTTTCAGTGCCCATCAGTGTTGCCTGTCAATGCCCATTAGTGCCACCTACTAGTGCCTCCTCATCAGTGCCCATCAGTGCCACCTATCAGTACCCATCAGTGCAGCCTATCAGTGCCCATCACTGCAGCCTCATTAGCGCACATCAGTGAAGGAGAAAAATCACTTATTTACATTTTATAACAAAACTAAGAAAAAATGTGTTTTTTTTTTCAAAATTTTCAGTTGTTTTTGGTTTGTTTAGCAAAAAATAAAAAACCCAGAGGTGATTAAATACTACCAAAAGAAAGCTCTATCTGTCTCAAAAAAGATGATAATAATTTCATATGGGTACAGTGTTGCATGACCGTGCAATTGTCATTCAAAGTGCGACAGCGCTGAAAGCTGAAAATTGGCCTGGGCATGAAGGGGGTACAAGTGTCCTGTAGGCAAGTGATTAATGTGATATTTTAGCTAGATATTTTGCTTGTTTGATATCTTGAGCAGCATCCTTATATGTTCTAACTATTCTTTTCGTTCAGCAACTGTATGAAGTGTATTTTATATTTAGTTCTTGTATCATCAATGTTAAAATGCCTTGTAGTAACATCAGTGACTGATGAGCGCAAGAGCCGGTGTCAATATTTTTATGTGAAATGCTTGTTAGAAGTACTTCACAATTACCTTTTACTAGCTGGGGCCAGCCACAACACCAGTTTAAGGGCTGAGGGGAAAACTTGATGTAAACTATGGGCACTCTGTCTGAGGAAAATAAATGAATTGGCAAAGATGTATACATACAGTACATCTGATAGCTCTCCGGAAGCAACGTCTCACGTGGTTAATACCATGGACTGGTGAGAGCAGCCATGTTACTGCGCCATGCTATATGCCTCACGATGCGGCGGGAACTCTGCATGATGAACAATTCTTAATATAAGGTCAGATCCTTACCCTAACGGGAACTGTGTGGAAAACCCACTCTATATCTACAACATGACAATCAAGTCTTAATGGGCTGAGAATCTATTTCCCTGGAATCGGCTAGGTCATTAGCCAGTATAACGGTGGTGAGTGGGGTGCATTGTATATACATCGTTAATTGTTGTTGCACACCACATCTAAAGTTTTGCAATTTATTCTCAGCTTCGCTATACATTTGTCATGATGTTTACCTGGAGGAATACCCAGAAGGGATAAAGATATCTACATATTTTCACGATATATGGAGGCTTAAACCACACAGTATTGAAGATTTGAAGGAACATGGGACAGTGTGAATCTTTCAACACTGTATAATTCCATGGGAACTCCTTCTTGCACTCTACAAATGGACATACTCATTCCTTTTTTCAACCTACATTTTTTGCAGTTTTTCACGCATTTAATGATCATGATTATGCATATCTAGCTATATACTTGGCTAATTTTTTTCTCTCACTGCAAATATTGTGCATGTATGATATATATGTTCACAACACTAAGCCTTGTGATACACGGCTGAGTTTTGGCTACTCTTGCTAATATGCTGCTGTATATCTCAAACCAGTCAAAAGTGAACACCACTAGCAATATTCAAATGTTGCAATCCGGATTGCTTGTCTTTCATTGTTTTTAATGTGTATTCAGTGATTGTACATGTCACCATCCATGGATATTACCTTTTTCTCCCTACAAGGGAATAATAAAAATATGTGATTTTACATAAAAGCTAAATTGCTTGGGTGTTTATTACCTACTTTGGTAGTTGGCTCATGGCAACTACTACTCCTTTTGGTATTGACAATGAACCAGAGCTGAGAGCTTGAGGTGCATTAAAGTTCATTTGTAGTTGAAATTAAATCAAGCTTGCAAATTTGTAGTACCCAAGACCAGTGGTGGCAAACCTATGACACACGTGCCGCAGCAGGCACGCAAAGCCCTCTCTGTCGTCACGCTAGCCAAATCACCCCAGCAGCTGAGCATCGGATCAGGGCACATAGGGGCCAATGCTTAGAAAGGAGTAGCGGCACCAGTCGATGACGTCACGAGCCGCGACTCATTAGCTGTGACTCATTTGGTCAATGCGCTGCCAAGAAAATTATATATATATTTACTTGGACTGGGATCACCGTGCTGTGATTTTAGCAGAAGCCCCCACAGGCCCACAAGGTGGTTAGTGCAACATTGTCCCTCTGTGCTGGTGGTTAGTGGAACGTTGCCCCTTTGTGCTGGCGGTCAGTGGAAAGTTGCCCCTTTGTGCTGGTGGTCAGTGGAACGTTCCCCCTTTGTGCTGGTGGTCAGTGGAAAGTTGCATGGCAGTAAAGCTTCCATTATCACAATTATTTGCAAATATGTGAATGGATCCTTAGAGTGGACCTATCAGTAACTTTATAACTATGAAAATACATTTTTTGTCTTAAAACTCAAGGAATCCTCGTTCATAGTCAACATAAAATGTGTGAAAAACACTAATTTTGTTATTCTCAACCATGCAGCTATTTTTAATGTGAAGAAGTAATTATGTATTTGTTTCAGATCATACAGATCTTAATTCACCTTATTGTGAAATATATATATATACTGTAAGTGCTACATATTTGCCTCTTTTTTCTCCACTAAAATCCATTAAAGCCACTTGCAGTAAAATTAATTAGTTATTCTGTCTAGTGTATTAGAATATAAAAACTTTAAACCACTGATAACAATTACAGAACTCTTATTGTATTGTCCAATATTTATCTGCTGTGCCAAAGACAGAATGATATTTCAGTAATTACTCAATATGTTTGTGTTGGTAAAAGTATCGCTTTTCACAGCAAAATAATTATTGCTGTGAGACAGTACAGAGATTGTACAACAGTTTTATGTGCTGAAAAATAGAAAAAACACATCCTAATTTAAGACCTGTAGAATATAGAATACAGTGAATAAAACCCAAACCTATACTAAATTAAAACAAATACAAATTGTAACTATTAGCACATAGAGAAGATAAGGGCTTAAGAAAATGGTAGTTAATGATGATAAAAAAGATAGATCTTTGAAGCTCATACAGCTCAACTGTGAGGGTAAGTCCAAAGCTAAATATAGTCAGGGCAAATTGCAAAAGATAAATTAGCCCCAGTACATTTACCTCATTTGCTGCAGCCACTGAAGGGTCAACTTTGCCTTATGCTGTTGAGATCATTGACACATTTGAATAGCCAAGTGAACCCTGTGCGCAGCTTCCAAGCTGATGAATGCTAATTTTCTGCCAATGCTCTTTGATAATAGGTTTCATTTTGTTATCAATTTTAACAAAATTCCCTGTACTACATAGCTGTGTATGTTGAGTTAGTGCAGCAAAAATTTTACAAATTCTGCCAGGGTTTTGTAACATTATGAGCACAGCCATAGAGCTAGCTATTCAAAAGCCTTAGGTCATAAAATGAACCGAAAATCCTTATAAAAATGGCCACATAAAAGGAAATTACATGCTGCATATATTTATTACCTTCTTTAAGAATGCAATACTAATTTACAATATTTTCTAAAGGGCTTTTTCATTCCTTTTGTTCTATCTCACTTGTTATATTTATTCCTCAAGCACTACTCCATAGAATCTATAGTGTCCATTTACTTCGGTGACAAGGGAAATGAGCATACAACATATTTGCACAGAATTTTAATAAATTACTTTGTATTCCATCCTCGTTATTTCATATAAACTAGCAGTTACTCATGCACAGTTATAAGGGCATTAAGGGATACATTTTTGGTTTTACCTTCTACAAAACTGTACATTATAGGAAGGAAGAGAGGCATTTCCTACTCTAGGTGTATTGAATAAACAAGATCCTTTCTACCCCTCAGCTTCCCTTTTGATCTTACCTTACCTTGCTATGGTTACTTTATTTTATTCAACATTTATTGTGAAACATGTTTTAAAAAGCTTAAAATACTTTTAAATTAAGGTAGACTAATTTACTTATTAATTAACCCAGTGGCTATCTATATTTTAGGAAGCTATTGCTTATCTTGCTCCATCAATATTACCCATAATGTATATGTCAAAATATATGTCAGTGTCAAAAAGGTGAAGCTGAATTGGTGAAAACCACCCATGAAATAATGAAACAATATGGGTACTTATGGAATCTGTGTGACTCATTCTAAGAATTTGTTTAGTGTAACAATAAGCACTATCCAGACATTTTCAGAAAAAGATGAAAAGATGAGAGTATTTCTTTAATATATCTCTGCTACATGTATCTTTGCAACAAGTTCAGCTGATGTTTTTTTTTCTTTTTTTTTTGTGAGACCCATGCATGCTTACTTTAGAATATTTAAGCTAAAGCGAAACAATTTACAGCTATTCCTGTAAAAAATGTTTAAGAAAATGAAAAGGAAAGATTGTAAGCTCCAAGGAGCAGGGCCCTCAATTGCCTCTTGTATTGAACTGTATTGTTACTGTATTGTCTCCCACTGTAATGTAAAACCGGTGGCGCTATATTATTATTATTATTATTATACAGTATTTATAAAGCGCCAATAGTTCGCTCAGCGCTGTACATTACAAAGGGGGACAGATCATGTGACAGAACAATACCAATACAATGCAAAACATGAGGGGATTGAGGGCCCTGCTCTTTCGAGCTTACAATCTAGGAGGGAGGGGATAGTGGTACAGGAGGAGATAGCTGTGGGGGATGGAGTGGTAGGAAAAGTGGAGGAGGTCAGCTAATTAGCAGGGGGTGGGGTAGGCTTCCCTGAAGAGATGGGTTTTCAGGGTGCGCCTAAAGGAGAGGAGAGTAGGTGATAATCTGATGGGTTGGGGCAGGGAGTTCCAGAGGATGGGTGACACCCTGGAGAAGTCCTAGAGGCGGGCATGGGAGGAGGAGACCAGGGAACTAGAGAGAAGGAGGTCTTGTGAGGAGCGGAGTGTGCGTGTTGGGCGGATATTAGGTCAGTGATGTAGTTCGGGGCAGTATGGTGGACAGCTTTGTACGTCAGTGTTAGGATTTTGAATTTGATCCGTTGCGCAACCGGAAGCCAGTGGAGTGAGTATTTTGGCGATGTTGCGGAGGTGGAGTCTGCACAAGTTTGTTAAAGATT